ATATCTTAATTTTCAATATAAAATATTATTTAAAATTTAGATTTATTTGAATTAATGATTTAAATGAATGAGGATAGAAACATATTCAATTGGCGACATTATGCATCTTTTCAAATATTGTGCACACTTTGTGAATCTTTTTTTATTTGAGTGTAATTTTGTGCCTCTTTTTATTTGCGTAACCAATTGCGATCTTCATATCTATACCACTAGATACTCCAGATTGTTGATAACTTTAAATCAGACTAGATTAGAGTTCATTGTAAATGGAGTCTGTATTTTTCCTTTTATATAGTCTGAGAGAGTGTGATTGTAATCGAGTAATTGTGCATACACATATTGGAGGAGTGTTTAAAATTTGCAAAAAAAATTTAAATTTATCATAGTGTATGAATTAATTTCATACAGGATGATTTGTTTAGTTATAAACTCCTATGAGCAGTTAAATGAATGAAAGCAAAAAAGTTTTTCTAAGTACGGTTCCTATTGTACTAAGTGTCCTTTATATAGATGACATCTAGAATATAAATTAAATGGGTCCCTTTTCATCCCAATAATTTCAAAGGTTTTTTTGAACTGATCGTATTGTATGATACCATATTTTTACAAATGATATCTATAGTACGAATTATATGGGTCCCTTTTCATCCCAGTGAATCCCAAAGTTTTTTTGAACTGATCATACTATATGATGTTTAGTTCATATAGACAATGTCTAAAGTATGAACTTGATGGGTCCCTTTTCATCCCATTGAATGCCAAATTTTGTTGAATGGATTATACTATACGATTTCCTTTTTGTACAGACGACATATAGCATACAAAAATATTATTTCACCACAATTCCAGCCCTTAGATTGCCCTAGGTAAATTTCTTAAGGTCAAGGGCCAGCTAGCATAGGAAATTTGTAAAAAAATTATTGAAGTCTCCAAATGGCCTAAATTTTTATAGGAACTTCCTAAGATCCTATGGCGTATGCTGATTTAATTTCCTATTAATTTGAGGTGATATGGGCATCCAATTTATAGACCCTAAAATTAGTTTGTAGAGCGACATAAAAAAAAATTATTTTCCAAGCTTGTGATAATTAATTTGTGACATCAAAAATGTTGATCTTTATGTGCATAAAAAGGATTAAATCAAAAGATTACATGAAATCTATCAGAACACCAACTTCAACAGCTTATTAATTGTGCACCACATCTTCTTAGTAATTTCAATCACTTCAATTACTAAAGAATTTATTTTCTTCGAGTTATTAATGTATGAAAATGCGAACCCAACAGGTGTCACCAGCTCGTTGTAAGCTTTGTCTCTTGATTCAAATATCGACCACTACTCAACTCCCCTTTAGCTAGATAAAATATATTTTTATCATGTTATATGGTATTAGGAGCATCACTCTTACATAAAACTTCTATAGTATTGACAATTTTTGCAGTGATCTCAAAAATATGCTTTTCATACCAATATACAATAAGAGGATTATGTAGTTTAAGGTGGGATGTAATGGAATAAGGAACAAAAGTGAATGACATGTTAGGATTTATGAATCTTAACTACAATTGATTCACAAATTAATTCAAAGCAAACAACACTAATGCTACATAATGTTTTGTAAAATGCTACATAATGTTTTTTTTTAAATAAATGAAAATCACATGGAATTACACCAAAAACCCTCCAAATAAAATTCATCCAAAAGATATAATAAGTTAATAACCCATCAAGATTTCACTCAGTTAAATAAATTATCAGATGATTCATGATTATGCTCCATAGTTACCAAGAGCAAATAATCTATAGAAAAAGTATTGCTTGTAATGGGCTCACAAACATAGCACTTACAATTCAAATATAAGGAGAACAATCGCATAATACAAAAGAATAACAATAGAACCTACTTTAAATTTTGGTTAAAAAAAAACAATAGAACAATAATATAAAAACAATAGAACAAAAATAAAACGGTAAAACAAAGCACTTATAATTCAAATGAGGACGAAACTCTAAGAAATTAGCTCAAATCGTCGAAATCAGCAATGCGGTCAACCTTGCAACTGAAGCGGTCAGTGTCGGTTATCGAGCACCTGCGAAAAACTTTAGATTTTGGTTGAAAGAAAAAAGATGCAAGCCACAAAACTCATAGGAGAGTAGTCGAACCGTGGTAGCCTGCACTCGACAGAAACTTGCAACGGAAGTTCGCCGCGATGCGAGTTTTGATGGCATGCGAATTTTGTTGCGAATCGAGATGCGAGTTTGGTCGGAAGGTTGAAGGCAACCATGTAGGATATTCGAGCGAGTGAGTTCGGCCGACGATGCTCCCTACGAAGAAGGCTGAAGGAAGGGCTCATAGCAGAGAAGAGAAACGAGAAATATGCATAACCGAAATAAAATTCCTTTGTCTTCACCTTCATGTGGCTGTGCAAGCAATTTGAGTGAGCGAGTGAGGCAGTGAGTCCGGCTCTGAATATATTACTACAATAATGGAGAAATTATTACGTGGGGAGTCTGGACTTAGAGATACATTCAAACATTCACTTAAAATTTTATACGTGGAGTGCACTTTGGTTGACTTTTTTGTGCGTTGTACTTGTGCTTTACCTGCACTTTATCTGCGCTTTAATTGCACTTTGATTGCTTTTGTTGTTCTTTTTTATTGCCCTTTTGCTGCTCTTTTTGTGCGTTTGACATAAAGTTCTACAGACACATTAATATTTAAAGTAAAAAGTAAATCTAATTGAATATCAACATGTCCACTCCATATGTTAATATTTTATTAAAGTCCGAACATACCTCTATGGTCCGAACTCCTCACATAATAATTTCTCACAATAACACAATAATGATCGTAAGAATAATAAAAAGTGTTACCATTATTTTGCCAGATAGTCTGGTTGTTGGATGCTAATTTTTTTGTTATGTTCAATTTCATAATTTTATCTTTTACTTATTTTAATATATGATTTGATAATTAAATTTCTCTATGAAATATTTAAAAATTTATGATTTTTTTCTTAAAAATCCTATTCAGTTCTAATTAAAAAAAAAAATTTGAAAAATATCAATATGTCTCTTTTGCCTTCTCCTTGCTATAAATAAGAAACTCAAAATTTTATTCATGAAATAAGAAGAAAAAACTTAATTCATTTTCCCTAATCACAAAAATAGGTAAAAACTCACAGCAAATAAATTTATCATTATATTTCAGTTCCTTCAATCCAAAAAAAGCATTTAAAAAGTGCAGTTCAGAGTTTAGATGCCTAATGGCCATTTTCCTTCCCCAAAAGCCACAAAGGAAAAAAGAAGAAACTATTGATACTATTAACGCATACAATACAATGTGCTTTGAGAACATTTCTTCATTAACAAATTTGAAAAGTCAAAATTATAAAAATGAGCTGATTTTATATGATAATATGTAGGAGCGAAATGAGATTGCCAAATAGTGCATTAGAAATTAGAACATTAAAATCCGGTTAATAGAAATCGGATTTTAATGATCCGGTTTCTATATAAACTGGATAATTCTTATTTTAACAGTATAAATTTTATAATTTTCCAAAAATAATATATAAATTTTATATTAAATATAATTAAACTGGTTAATTATTTTTTAAAAAAAATTAATTGTTTTTGCTTAATAATATAAATTTTATAATTTAAAAATTAAAATTCGATTTACATAAATTTTAGAATTTAAATTGTATTATAATTTGTTATATGTATATGATTTAAATTTTTTTAAATATTAATTAGAAATTCAGAAAAATAGGTAATCTATTGGACCAATTCACGATTGAACCGGTTGATCCGGGCTGCATTTCTCAGAAATAAATAAAAAATTTTATGACAATAACTTTTTATTACCATACATGTAATGATGATAATTTGTTTTTTCTCCATGAGGCCACAGTTGGAGCAGCTTGTTAAAAAAAATACTTAACAAGTTGGATATTTTTTTCTGATGTATATTCACAGCGGTTAATCTTGAAAACACATATTACTTTTAAATTAGTAATTAACAAAATAAAATAAAATAGTGAGAGCCAAATTCGCTGACTCGACCAGGCCACAGTTGGAGCAGCTTGTTAAAAAAAATACTTAACAAGTTGGATATTTTTTTCTGATGTATATTCACAGCGGTTAATCTTGAAAACACATATTACTTTTAAATTAGTAATTAACAAAATAAAATAAAATAGTGAGAGCCAAATTCGCTGACTCGACCACCACTTCTTAATTTTATTAAGTGTCACAACACCTGCTGAGTACTATTAACAAGGGAGGGATAAAAAGAAAAAAACCTTTCAGGATTCAAATCTTTTACAGTACCCGGCAACCCGCGCGGAAACGGCTACAGCCATTGTCGTCGGCGTCGGGGCGGCGTTACCACCTTTCGCGCCTTCATCCTTGACCTCTTTGTTCCATCAAGCGGCACCGTTGGCACCAACGCCGACACTTCCGACACACCCGCCACCCTCTTCCCCACTACCGTCCCACCTCTCCTCCGTATCTCATGCAAGGCGGCCGTTGCATTTTGCCTCCCCACTGAACTCCCCGTTCTCATCACCCCCGCAAGACCCATAACGGCTTTCTCCTCCCAACCTAGTAACCCTGCCACGATTGAGCGCCGCACGAGAAGCGCTAAAGCCCCCGCTGCCGCCTCGGCCACTATCTCATCCTGAAGCGCACCCACGAGCGCCTCCACTGCGTTTGAATCCACCATCCGCTCCCAACTCTCCGGGTGCATTGACAGGTTGAACAGAGCCATCACAGCATGCTTTTTTCCCGTCGTGCTTCCGTTTCTCAGCATCCAAGCAAGGGCTTCAGCGCCGCCCGCCTCGTCCACGATAAGTTTCTTGCTATCGTGCAAAGTAGAGAGGCTGAAGATCGCTGCCGCCGCGTTTTCTCTTGATTCTGGCGTCAGCCCGCGACGTAAAACAGTTACAATTGAGGTCAAGCAACCCTCTTGGTTTATAATCTTCCGCCTGTTCGTGTCGTGGATTGAGAGATTGAGCAGGGCAGTGACGGCGTTTTCCTGAGCAATTGGGTTCTGGGAATGGAGGAGAAGCGAGAGCTGAGGGATTGCACCTTCTTCTGCAAAAATTATTCTGTTTTCCTTCGCAATTTTGGCGAGCGACCGGATTTCCCCCGCAGCGGTCTTCTTCGAATCCAAATCTCCGGTGGATAAATGCTGTATAAGGATTTGCGTAATAGCGCGGGTGGCCTCAACCGTCGCTTTAGCGGCAACGAGGGTGGTTGCACAGCCACTGCTCCCTTGTACGGAACGACAAGGGACGCTATTCACTGCGCACCAGTGGGAAGTTAAGCTGCGCAAAGCTCGGTTAGGAATGAGGTCGGTGTTGACGAGGCTCTGGCCGGAGTTGGGGCAAGTCTTGTGGCCGCTGGCCATCCACTGAGCTATTGAGCTGCGGTCGTAGGTCTGACCGGTGGAGACTACCACAGGATCCAACATTAGCTCGAGTGAAATCGGGCAGCAGAAATCGCTTGGGACCGATATGGAATTTGGTGCAGGATTGTTCCGGTATTTCTGCTTGCCTTCTACTGTTTCATGTATACCAAAAAGTAGAAATTTGGAATAGCGAGCTACGGCGACGACGCCGGAAAGGGTGGCCCAGTCCGACGCCGTCTCGGCGTAGGACTCGCGATTATTGTAGATTTTATCCTCTAAGAATTTGATCTCAGACTCGAAACCCATGGCGTCCTGAATCCCAACCCGGTCTAAAAATGTGGTTTTTAAGTCAGCCGTATCCGGCTGTCGCTGTTCCTCGAATTCATTTAAAAAGGAGAGGACTTTATTCCGGAGCTCTTCGTCTCTAGAATCGTAGCGTAACACAGCACTCCCAACCTGCTGCTGAAGGAGCTCGATGTGTTCCCTTACGTCGGCAGTAAGGCCGAGCTCGTTCAGGGGAAGAACGTCGAGCAAGGTGGAGATATCATGCCCGAGTTCATGAAACTGGCAGGAGATCATCTGATTGCGGAGGAGCACCCAAAGACGGCTTGATTGAAAGAAGTAATTAAGCAGAAACCTAGCGCGGTGGACGATGACGTAAAATTCCTTTAAGCACAGATTTGCTAAGGGCGGGAGCGTTTGACGGGACTCGAGGAGGAATTCGAAAAGTGTGAGAAGGATTTGAATCCGCCGAAGTAGGGAACGGGCGTTCTGGCGCTGGTGCCGCGGCCACCAGCCGCGGTTTGAATAGGTAGAGACAAGGTCGCTGCCGACGGCGATGATCTGGTGGAGGAGAGAGGCTTGGGAGAGGCCTGAGGGTGCAGAGAACACCTCCGCCTGCTGCGGCTTCCGCGTCACACAGTCTAATGCGGCTGGCATAACTGGCGTTGATATCTGATCCAAATCCGGAGTTGAGCACATTCTCAACCCACAGCGTAGCCCTCTTATAAACAAAAAATGTTTAGGAAGAGAGCAAAAATTATAGTAGGTTCCTTTGTATTATTGTGCTTGGACTATAGGTAGGCATTGATGAAGGAGCCGCATATGTATTTTCCTAACAGTATAATACGATAATAAGTTAAATTAAAAACTTTTTTAATTAAAAACGTATTTATTCACGTAATGATTATCATATAATTATTTTGTCGTATACTGTGTCAAACAAGTTTATATTTTTTTCCTAAAAATAAATATGGCTTCATATATTGCATATTTGCTTATTCTTAAATGATAATGCGCCAAAATAACTAGCATGAAAATATGTCAGGGCCTCTTTATACAGATTAATTGAATTCTATAAACTAATATATATAATTTATTGGTAGAATCATAACTCCAACTAATATATATAATTTATTGGTAGAATCATAACTCCAAAGTTGCATTATTAAATCTTGCCTACTCGGGGGGGACAATCCTTAGCTGGGTGCTTTCATCCCCATATATCCAATTCTAACAACAGGAAAACACCAATCTCGAGGCTTCTAAGCTTAGCATATTATGGTACTTCAACCATTGGGTACATCTCTTTTATACTTCAACTCACTTCTCAAAGAGCTAAGAGTCTTAGAGCCATTAGTTAACAAGGAGAATGATAACTCCATTACTTGATGTATCTTGCTAGAGATGGAAGAAATGACAATAAAGATGATTCATGATGGCATAGGTGGGCTCGAAGGTCAAGTATTATGGGACACTACTCAAATGGGTTCGTCTAACTCAGCAATTTTTCATAAGAGACCACCAGATAAAGTATTGATCTCAATAACAATTCCTGATCCCTCTTCCACGCTAGAAGGGCTGAGCCCAAACTCATTAATGCCTTCTCTAGGGTAATAATAGAGGATAGGAAACCTCCCAAGTTTATGGTACCACACATGGATTATTTTATGGAAAAGATTGACCCAATTGACTATAAGGAAAACTTTAAATCAATATCCTCTCTATCAAAAAATTGGTGACATCCTAAAGTGTCACATTTTCTTTACAACATTTAAAGAGTTGACACTTAGGTGTTTCACATGTGTGCCACTATAAGTGATCACCTTCTTCTCTGATAACAAAAGGATATTTGTAACTCAATATACCTCTAACTAGAAGCAATAGAATAACCTTCAAGCCCTTATGAATGTAAGAGCCAGGAGAATCACTAAGGAGTTTCATATCGAGATTTTAGAGAGTGATGCATGAAGTAATGGAATTAAAGCCTATAGTCATCCAAGATGTCTTGACTTAAGGATTCAGAGAGGGTCCATTCTGCTTCGCACTAGACCTGTAATATCTAAAATCTCTTGCTGAACTATTAGAGCAAGCTAATAACCATGTAAATTCTAATGAATACAATAGGGTGGTTTAATCCTCCTCACCACTCACCATATGTGCTCTCCCCATTAAGGAAATAGCATTGAGGGAGAGAACGAGATTGAATTCATCATAGAGATTAGTTGGACATAAGGAATAACTTATTATGAGATCAATGTTGCCAAGAACTTCCAGGGATACCCCTATAGACAAGGAAATTAAGGATTACAGGGCCACCCACTCAAATAGTGAAGAATCCAACTAATGTCTCTTTTCTATACCATGAAGAACTCATACTTTATTTTCCAACTTATCTCAGATGCAATCTACAAAGAATGTTTATGCCTAATCTAGTAGAGGCTATCCTAAACAAGGATTTCTTTAAGTGTTTGTTTCCCATGATGGTGAATGTACACATTTGGGATACTTAAAGGTATTGTGTTTTTCATAAGAAGCATGGTAAAGATACAAAGGAATGTTTTAACATCCATGATTAAGTAGAATATCTCATCAAGGTTGAAAAAGTAAGGGAATTCATTCTTGTTTATCATGGCTAGAGCTCACAAAAAGCACCCACGGAAGGGGATAGCAACATGCTTGTCCTAGGTCACGTAAAGCACCTCATAGGAGTCTTGACTCTAATCATTGGTGGAGAGTGTGAAACACCTTAGACTATGAATAGTAGAGAAGTAAACTTATCATTTATCTAGTGAGCTCCCATTATAGATGTTTCACCAATCACCATTTTAGAAGCTAACAAGCTTTAGGAGGGAGCTCCAATAATGACATCTATTAACCTCATTTTTTAGTGAGGTTAATTCTCCACATCAAATATACAATCTCTAAACACAAATAATTTAGTTATACAATCTCCTTGATTGTAAATTGATCAGCAGATCAATCACTTGATAATCATAAAATAATTATTACTGATATGATCATTTTAAAATCAAAATTTACCTCAATCATTGACCTTCATCATCACATTCAAAATCTAAAGTAAAATCAAACCTTAAATTGATAAGTTGATAATCACTAGTGGTTGTCACCTGATCATATATTCTATCATAGACAATCATCAATGATTGTAAATCATATGAACAATCCAAATCCAAAACTCCAAATCATTGATCAAATCAAATATAAACCAACTTTAATGCCCAAATCTAATAAAAAATCAAAACTTAAAAATTTAGTATTCAAATCCAAACAAAAAATCTCTGGGTCCATAACCTATTTTTGGATAATTTTTAGTCACCATAAAACCCAACAAAGTTATCTTAGATTCATGATTAATCACTTGCATATTGTTTAGGCATGTCTTTAAGGTTAACTATGTCAAATCGAAAGCATTCCATGATATTCAACCCCTTAATCTTAAATCATTATTTTGAATGGATTGGACCCAACTCCAACCCATTGACTATGTCAATGATGGTAGACCAAATGGTCCCTTAATCACTTAAATATGTATTTCAAACCAAATGACCTCTTCATTGCATGAGACCATATCAAACAAACTCAATTTGTCATTTGGAGTAAATTGAACTCAACAACCCATGGTCAAGCATATTTAATTTTGTCAAATTAGGTTGACCAAATGAGCATTAAGTATGCTCAAATGTATATTTCATATAAGGAGGTTGGACAAATCCTAACACTTACTCCACTTAAGTTCCTAATGCTATTTGGAATGTGTTGGATCAATTTCTAACTCAAGGTCCAACTAAGTTGACCAAGTCAACTTAGGCTGACCAAACACACCTATACTTAAACCTCATTTAATTTCATTCACCCAATAATTTCCAAACTAAATTGAACCATGGGATTACCCATTGGGTCCATAAGAACCTATCCTAGATGACTACGGTCCACTTGGGCTAGCCATAAACTTTGAGTGAAGTGACCAAAGCCACTCCTCACTGAGCCAAATTCAAAACCAGTTTAAATAGATCTAAACCAACACTTATATTGAGTAGTCCTTGGACAAGTACATAAGCCAGGGTTAGCTTATCTCATGGCTAACTAGTTAATCCCATTGGGTGTATCCAAAGTCTCCAAGTTAACCATTCTTGAACCACATTGGACATGTAGATCTACCTAAGATCAATTTTCTCATGAAATGCACTCAAGAACCTACCATTGGCTTTCCACCACATTTCCAACACATGTGGTGGTCGGCGATGGCCAAAATTTAAGAAACAAACCATGTGATCCATAAGTTCAACCCAAGCTTGTTCCCCTTATTCATTAAGTTATGGAACTCTTAGAAATACTTATTAGATTTTATGTGATTGTCCAACCCAACCTAGTGGCTTGAACAAGCCTGATTAGAGCCAATTTTCTAGCCTTCTTCAATTTAAAATGCTTATAAATACTCTAGATTTCATTGAGCAAGGGTTCCTAATTTCAATTTAAAAAGCTTCTTGACATTGACAGAGATTTCACCCAACCTCTCCATCCCTTATGGTGATCAACTTTTATAAGCTCTAACGAAGCTCCTCAAGCCATGAGTCAAGTTTTGATTTAGTGGATTTCAAGCCTTATTGTTTGAAGCAAGATTGTTCCTTGAAGCCTTTAAACTAAACTCAAACAATTCTCAATCCAATTGTACTCTCCCTTAGGAACTCTTCCAATCCCGAGCATAATTTTAGGTAGGTTCAATAAATTATGAAATAAATATTCATTCCAATGAGGTATAACCTTTGGATTGAATTTTCATGAATGGATGAAGCTCTTCAAGAACTTTCATTAAGATCAATCCATTAGATATCTCAAATCTTGAAGAAATAGGATCATAGTTGAAAGAATGAGTGGTAGGTTGAAGATGAAATCCTAGCTATTGATTTTGATCAATAGCTTGGACTAGATCTTATATGATCCCATGGCTTAATAGAGATTAAATCCCATCAGTCTAATTATGAATCGAATAATATCAGAGAAAGCACCTTAAAATGTTTGTGTGCTAATGAATGCCACGCCAATCAATGTATGGTGCATGTAAAGACTTAGTGACTATGTAATTCATTTAAGGAAAATTATTAAAAACTTGTAAACTTCAAAAATTCATAAATCATCACATAATTATCAAAATAGCATAATCTTAGGAACATTGGATTCAACTTGAGGAGTAGTATTGATGCCACATGATTATACACCACAATTTAGAATATATTAAAAGTAATTTTAAAAACATTCACATGTATTTCTAAAATTGCACACTAAATATAATTCAGTATGAGCTTAAATAGATAGGGTAGGTGCTTGGGCATGTGCTATACATACCCAAAATGTTTCATGGCAATTGAAAACCTCTAAATGCTTCAATTAAAAACCATAAGTTTATTGGTATGAAATGACCAATTAATCTAACTGGGTATGGTTGTGAATCCACAAGGAATAAGGATTTATGATTTGGTGTATTTATTTTGCTTTGTATAAGGGTCAGAATGCTAAAGATTGCAACCTAATCACATAAGTAGATTATAAAAATTAAATCTCCTAAGGTATAAATGTATTTACCATATAGGATTTATTATAAAGCTTAGGATGACTTTGATGAGTCCATATTTAGTGGGTTTGAAGAATAGGTTGTGAGATGAACTTATATTTCAAATTAT